GAGGTTCTCAATTCGTCCCAATATTTTTTTTTTATGTATGTTCACCGAAAATTCTTTAACACGGTGTCCGATTTCAATGATTCTTTTTTTGTTAGAAAGGGGGTACTTCAGGGGTGGTCTCATATAAATTTGGTTAAAATCTAATAATTAGGTCTATGAGAAAATCCTCAAACTCTTCATTTTTTATGTACAACGATAATTCTTTAACACGGTGTCCGATTTCAATGATTCTTTTTTTGTTAGAAAGGGGGTACTTTAGGGGTGGTCCCATATAAATTTGGTCAAAATGTAATAATTGGGTCCATGAGAAAATCCTCAAACTCTTCATTTTTTATGTATGTTTAGCGATAATGCTTTACCACCTTGTCCGATTTATAAGATTCTTTTTTTGTTAGTAAGGGGGTACCTCAGGGGTGGTCCCATATAAATTTGATTAAGATGTGGTGATGGCATCTACACGTTTTTGAAGTCGGTTTTTTAAATTTTTAATTTCTAATACTTGTTTAACTTATTTTTTCTTTTCTCATATTATACACCGGACTTCAGCAATTCTCCTCGTATTGTTCAATAATTTATCATATTGTACATTATTATGTACGTATAATTAACTTATTATCAACTTGTATCTATTTACTTATTTTTTTCATTATTTATTGATACACATTTCATTTGCCGAGGTCATTCACAGAGTGAAAGAAATGATTGGGTTATAAATAAATAAAAAAATTGTATGATATTGTATTCATATTTACAAAGCTGTTACTAAACAAAGGGCTAATGACATATTAATATATGCTTCGAGATCAAGATGAAAAAAAGGTGCGATATTTTATTCATAATTTTTTTATCTCGGTGTCTAGTCATAATATTAATATGTCATTAACTCTTAGTTAGACTTTATGCTGAAAATAATGGTGGCCATTTTGAGCAATTTTTGTAAATTTGTTTGTTTGTGTTAATATTATTAGATCACTTTAGAATATTTGATTTATCTGTTACTCGCCTAAATAGTGATAGACTAGACAATAATATTCTTTAGACAAACAAAACTACCCTGATGAATTACGGTATGTTAAATAGAAAAAAATTACTCCTCATTAACAACTAGCCCTCTTTAACACAACAGGTATGGCTCAGGTACGATTGCTATTAAATTTCTGATAAAGGAAGAAAATGTAACGAAACGGCGATTAATTTAAAAATAATTTTAGGAGTGTAGTTTTGGCAGTAATCTAAGTAAAAAAGCATAATAAAAAATACAGGTCTGTATTAAAACAATAAAATAGTGACCTTGCAATAGCAATAATAAAAAGTATCAAAACGTCCTAAACTACTAATATACAGGGTGTCTGTAAAAGGTCTTTACAAAAACATACCACATATTCCTTAGACCAAAATAAGTCGATTTAAGTAAAATTACCTTAGTACAAAGTTGCTTCGTTAGGGCTCCAGAGAGCCTTGAAGTTACAATTTTTAAATCGTTTTTTCCATATAAATTTAAAACGGCATATGCGATTTTGCTGAAATTTGGTATATTGGTAGAGTTTTATGTGGCAAAAAAATGGTATTAAAATTTTGTCCGATAATAATACATAGGCGTAGAACTTGATTTTTAAATAATTGCACCTTTAAAACTTCTACGCCAATGGAAGAAAAGGAGTTTGAGTATGAAATTTAGATTGCGCAACTCATTTACTTTAAAAAAGGTTCTCTTGATAAGACTCGATTACTCTCATGGTTTTGACGAAATTTGCATTTTAGTAATTTTAGAACATAAACAATAATTATTAAAATACAAACTTTGTCAAAACCATGAGAGTAAATCGAGTGTTATCAAGGGTGCTTTTTTGTTGTAAAATTTCATACTCAAACCCCTTTTCTGCCATTGGCGTAGAATTTTTAAAGGTGCAATTATTTAAAAAATCAAGTTCTACGCCTAAGTATTATTATCGGACAAAATTTTATACGATGAAAAACATAAAAATGTACTTTTTTCGTATCTTCTTCAACACCTCTAATCGAGACTTTTAACAAAAATACTCGATTCTTGCCATGTACGATTTTTTGAGGAATATTAATTATTTGCCTGCAATACGTATACAAAAACATTTATTGTTGGTTTCCATAGTTTCATCTAAATAAAAATATTGTCAAGTTTTAACACCTAATCTCTTGTTAACGATTGAAAGTGTTCATCTGACTCAATAATTAAAAAAACAAATGCGTGGTTTATTAATATGGCTGTACAATATACCAATGCAGAATATACCGATATGTTACTGACATTAGGATTTTGTGAAGGAAATGCTCGAGAGAGTGTCAGGGTGTACTCTGAAAGGTTTTCAAATCGTCGTATACCTAGCCACCCAACTTTTGCTGCTGTTGAGTGACGTCTTCTGGAGACCATTTCCTTTGCTCCCAACATTGTTGATAATGGAAGAGAACGTTTTGTAAGGATTCCTGAAGTTGAAGAAGACATTTTAGAACGTGTTGAAGAAGATCCAGTATTAAGCACCAGACGAATTGGAAGAGAACTAGGAGTAAGTAAAGATGTCGTTCATAAAGTGCTTAGAGAACAATTGCTATATCCATACCATAAGAAGCGAGTACAAGAATTATTAGTCCATGATCCTCAAATTCGTTTCGGTTTTTGTCGATTTGTTAATATGCAAAGAGAAAGAGATCCAAACTTTGTCAAGAAGGTTCTCTTTACCGATGAAGCGGGTTTTACAAGAAGAGGTATAACTAATACCCATAATGAACATGTTTATGCCGTTGAAAATCCGCATGCAATAAAGGTAAACCATTTTCAGCACGAATTCAAAATTTTTGTGTGGCCTGGAATAATTGGTAATTTCATTGTTGGTCCTGTCATACTTCCACGAAGATTAACTGGAGAAAATTATTTGGATTTTCTACAAAATACGTTACCGCAATTGGTAGAAGATTTACCTCTCCAACTTCGGAGAGATATGCGGTTTATGCAAGATGGAGCTCCACCACATTTTTCTTTAAACGTTAGAATCCACTTGAATGAACAATATCCACACAAATGGATAGGCAGAGGTAATGACGCACCTGTAAACTGGCCACCACGTTCCCCAGACCTAACACCTAACACAGTTTACAGGGAACCTGTAGAAAATGAGGAACAACTCTGGCAACGTATTCAAGATGCAATAAACAATCTTAGAGGTGATGAAGAAGTTATGGAAAGGATACATTTTAATTTTCTTCGACGTATAAATCTTTGTATGCGTGAAAATGGTGAACATTTTGAACAATTTTTGTAAAATCTCTATTTTGATTATGTTGTAAATAAATATTTTTGTGCAACCTATACACTCTAAATGATTAAAACAAAAATTTAGCGAAAACCATGACAGTAATCGAGTCTTATCAAGAGTACCTTTTTTAAAGTAAATGAGTTGCGCAATCTAAATTTCATACTCAAACTCCTTTTCTTCCATTGGCGTAGAATTTTTAATGGTGCAATTATTTAAAAAATCAAGTTCTACGCCTATGTATTATTATCGGACAAAATTTTAATACCATTTTTTTTGCTACATAAAACTCTACCAATATACCAAATTTCAGCAAAATCGCATATGCCGTTTTAAATTTATATGGGAAAAACGATTTAAAAATTGTAACTTCAAGGCCCTCTGGAGCCCAAACGAAGCAACTTTGTACTAAGATAATTTTACTTAAATCGACTTATTTTGGTCTAAGGAATATGTGGTATGTTTTTGTAAAGACTTTTACAGACACCCTGTATGTTACATGGTTGAATTTAGCATTAAAAATTTTTTTTAAAATAGAATAAAAAAATACAGGTCCGTATTCAAAAAAATATACTTGATGGTGGCCCTCCAGAAACGAAACGTTGTATAAAAAATGTGTCTACGGTAAATTAAGCGCTACTTAATACCAAATAAAAAATCTAATTACAATATTTTTCTAATTTATAAAATAAAGGCAATACAATCGAAAATAAAGTCTTTTTTTTAAATATCTTGGAAACCGGTCCTGATGTTCTCAGTTTTAAAACATCACTAAATTAGTCTTGCAATAGTACAACTTTTTTCCCATTTAATCGACTTTGTAACTTTTACGGTTTTCGACAGTAATACTGTTCAATATAAAAAGTATAGTACTGAAACCTCGATCAAATTGTATAAACTTTGAAGCTAAACTAAAGTGATTAGGTAAATTCCACACCAATACTACCCAGGGCCGGATGCTCCCGTGTTCAGTTTTCGTCTGCCATGTGCATGACGTCACTTATAGCCTGACTCTCATTAGGGAGAGGGGAGTGCATTTATTATAACAGCTACAACAAAATGTTTAATATAAAATAACTAATTTCATGTATCTTTACGCGTTACTTTTGCTGTAATATTGGTCTCTGGGATTTTTGGCCCGAATCTTGCGGGAAAGGTTTTTCATATTAAGTTTATCTTTCCTCTTGCTACGATGCAACCACTTGTTGATAAGGTTAGGAAAATAAAATCTTACAAACTTTCTTACGAAATATTAATGTTATCATGTTTGTTCCCCAAACAGAAAACATTAATTTTTAAAGTCCATTTGGGAGAACCGTCCCTGTTCCGGCTAATACACAACCTTCCTTCATAAATTGCAACAGACTATACATCAATATATTTGGTTGCGACAACACTGTGTAGGTCAACAGTGAAGAATCACCTTCCGTAATATTTTGTTCGAGTAGGCTTTTCGAGGAAAAGAACGGAATAGATATAAAATGGAAAAATGGCTCGACTGTTTGTTCCTATAGGATACTATCAGAAGTAGTTAATAGTCTGGGTTAACAGTCCCTATTTTTCTTTTTGGTATTATTCTGGCGTACACCGCTGTGACATCACGCACCATTTGAGTGATCTGAGCACGCTAACCTTTTCAATGTAATGAGGTTCCAATCATGGTATACGCAGTTACGAAATACATACATAATTATAGGTAAGTAAGTCTAGTTTGCGCCTTAACCGAATGGCATTGAAATTAAATAATCTATTTCTCTTTTAAATGGATCGTCACATTATTCGATAATATTTTATTTAGGAGGACATAATGATATTGCAATTATTTATACATTTTTCATTTTTGCGTAGTTGTTATGATTTGATAAGATTGGTAATCTAGTACTCGATAATATTTAATTTACCAAAACATGATTATATTGCAATTTTATATAAGTATTATTACAATGTGAATTTTAGATTTTTTGTTTTTGAGTAGATATCAAGATGGTAATCTAGTGTAAGTTAAAAGTAAGTACTCAAAATTTAACATTGAACTACGTATCTCGCATGTAGACTTTTGTTTTTCGATTTAATTTATCGTGACGTCGGAGTAGCTATTATACCGTATTTAACATATTGTACGTAGACGCTGACTCTCACTTTAGTTGATAGGTGATCGCTCGCGTGTGTTAGCGAGTAGCGATCCCATCCGTTCGTCGTACATAACGAGGCACCATAATTTTTAATATCAACGCGTACATGTCGACTTTGATACTGTGATTTTATATTAATCCGTGTGATAAAATGATTACTTCTGTATTTTATTGGATAACTTGCATGGCAGTGGTAAGTTTTATTGTTTGTTTTCTTTATTTAGATAATAATTGCCAGTAACTTAACTATTCTACGAAATAATTATTTATGTAGGTGTTTTAATTTATTTTTTTTACTAGTCATTCTTATTTACATTATTTCAATAGTATATATAGGAAGATATTTGTAATTTAAAAACATCTATGTCAGGAAATACTAGAAATTAATTCAATAAAAGATTTAATAACTTTAAATTGGAAGGTAAAATTTAGAACAAAATAAAATTAGATAGAAATAAGTATTAAATGATCAAAAATAATAAAATAATAGTAAAATAAAATAAATAAAATAATTAATGCAAGTATAAGCAATTAAGACCAAAAGCAGTTTTATATCAAGGAAAGTTATGAAAAGGTGATATTCGTAAACAAAGTACTTATTATCTAACTTTAACTAACAAGAAAATTATACTGATAACTCTTTATGTCAAAGTATTGATTATAAAGAAAATATAATTGACACAACTTTAAATTTTCCATAATTGACAAAAAGTAATATTCTCAATTCTATTGGCACTGACCGCAATGCCCAAACTATCGATCGATATATAAATTAAGCCATTACTAGCACACTGACCGCAATGTCACTAGCCCGCAACCATGGTGCGACGACTCTGGAAAACTGACCACAGTAATCCCAAACGCATACACTGACCGCAATGTACTACCTCGTAGATGAAAACAATATATAAGTAAATAGTCAAATAAGTTTTAATTATTTAATATAACCCCGTTAATTTAGGATACAAGGTTTTCTCAATACTTCACAAAATATCTTTGGGTGAGAATTGTCAAATTAACTATTAAAGGTTGATGAATAATAATTTATAGATTGATTGACTTACCTATAAGGAGAATCAATCCTAATTTGTTCCTCCGGTATAATTCTCACTTTGTAGTGATATATCTCGGTACATTTTAAAGATTATGCAAACTTCCGATTCTGACACCGTGGTATCAACATCGAAATGGCGGTCTCAGAATTGGAAGTCAAGTTTGTATGTTTCCGGTAAAATCTTTAATAAAATCGGTCATCGAGAAGTGAATATTGTCTTATGTGTTTAGTATTTGTGCGTCAAAATTTTTTGAATTTGTATGTAAATGATATATAGTGAATATAGCTACTAAATTAAATTAATATGATAGAGAACACGTTCTCAAGTTTATGGTCCAATTAGTTAGAATATCAGCTCCTGATTTTTTTAAATTGGTATAATCAATGGAAAAGAGTGAACATGGATTTTTCAATGGGAAGATGGACAATTCCAGATGTTCTTTAATGAATATTCCCGTAATATAAGCTAAATTACCTGCTCTGGCTAAATAGGGGAGAGTGGGGCACAGAGGACCACTTAAGGCCAAAAGTCGTCATACTCCTTTATCACTATTGATAAAAATTTCACTATGTAAGATACTGGGGCTACACCTATATGGTATCGACTGATGCATATACCTGTACAAAATCTTACTTGGTATTGATTCTATTGATTTGACTGTATCCTCTCTGCTCTATACCTTGGGGCACAAAGGACCGCTGTGTTACTTGTATGTAAAATAACTAATTCCGAATTTAATGATGATAAAAAACAGGTTTTATTGAAAAACGAACCACAAAACACAATAATAATGGTTTATATTTAAAATAAAACATTAATGCTCATTTTTGACAAAAATAAACCCTAGGTTCTTATCTTAATCACACTTTGCGCATAGGAACTGATCGTCATCTTCTGATGCACCTGCACACATTTGGTGGGCCCAATTTCGGCACAACTGGCATTGAATCCACCCTTCGTCAGGTTTGGACTTCGCTAGAATCATCATCCAGCCTACGTTGTGTTTGAAGTTTCTTTCTCTTTTTTGGTAAACCGTGGCTATTTTGCAGACTTTTCCTTTTCCAGAAGCCGAGAAGCATTTTCTAATAACCTGCTTACCTTTTTCAGAATTCTTTTTCAGAACTCTTTTTCAGTGATGCATTTACCTTTTTTTCTTGATTTTCTGCTTCTAAAGAGTCTTTAAACGGCGTTGCTGTTAATTCTTCTGCTGTTTGAGCTTTCCCTTTGGTTTTTGTTTGCACTTTGGCTTGGGTGAAATTGTAGCCAATATTTTTTCAAAATCATCTCCTGATGGATCCTTGGCAGTTGACGGACCTGGTGTTGGTTCAGAAGTGTCAATTTTTCGTGATGTTGGTGGATCTTTGGTAGTCGATGGACCCGGTACTGGTTCAGAAGTCTCCATTTTTCGTGAGGTTGAGAGTACTGGTAATATTAGTCCTGATTGAACAGTTTAGTCCTCTGGAACCAACTCTGGGTTATTATCGAGGATGTGACTATGCTGAAGCAGTCAGTGGTTCTGTATTAAGTTGATCATTCTCTCTATTATCAAGATCTGCTGTCACTTGTGGATTCTCAGTGACCGACGAAGGAAGGAAGTTAGTATCCGAAAATACATCAGGATTTAGCGGACAAATACCTGTTACATAAAAAACCTTGACGGCCTTTTCTAGAGTGGCAACTTTTAAAAATGCTTTGTTAAAAATCTCCATAACATCATAGATTAATATGCTTTGAGCTGTGTGGTTGGAAAGCCATTTATCACATTCTCGCGCATATTGTCCTTTTAACCGTCCATTAAAAGAACGGTCAAGCGGCTGCATACGATGGCTTGTATGAGGAGGAAGAGAGAAATGCATGCAACATGTAAACACATCATTCCAAATTTAAATTATTTACGAGGCAATAAAAATAAATAAATACTACATCACGTACCTTGAAAATCACTCTTTTGGCCACAAAACTGCACGGCGATCATAGACTAATAGACTGATAGAAAGATGTGCGGACTTTAATATAGTGTAAAGCCGACCAGGTGGCAGCACGTATAGCAGAAATATAAACAAAGTTCTTTGTGCCCCGCCGGTCCTCTGTGCCCCACTCTCCCCTACATTAAGGGTGGAGGCCAAAAAACTAACATAAGAAGAAGAAGAAGAAAGATTATGCAAACCAAACTGTCCTTTTACCCTGACTCATACATTCATTCTGTTTTTTAATCAATTAAAAATGGAACGCTGCAAAGCATGTGTAGGGGGTGGGCCGAATCATACCGGAAGATAAGCTTAACAAATTAGGGTTGATTCTCCTTATAGGTAAGTCAATCAATCTATAAATTTGTTTTCGCTTATCCTCTTGAAAGATGAACCGGCTCTTTCAAGACGCGCTTCCGCCGACGGACTCTAAGTATATGGTGTGTACGTTTACACAATTAATTTTCTTGTAGGTGGTGCATGCGTTTACACATTACACCAATGAATTGTTAGTACATTTACGAAGTTTACGTAATGTTTCAGATAAAATATAGTACCTAATTTAATATTAATTTCTACGCATTGTAAACTGAAAAATATCTATTTTTAAATCTCAAAGTGTAGGGAAGCGGTGCTTCCCCCGCTTCCATGGACCGCACGCCTCTGGAGGACATTGGATTGCCTAATAAAACGAATTTCGCAAAAAAGTTATTTACGAGATCCTGCGTTTTGACCCTATATGATAAAATAATTGATTCAAATATTCAAGCATCTAAAATCGTATTCTATACATTTAATACTTACTTTCAAACTGTAGTGTTTACATATAGGTAGTTATTTAAATTTAAACTAGCTGTTTAACCAGTTCTTCCTTGATTTAATTTTATTTACCACGTTCAGGTAAAAATGTAAGGACGAATATATTATTAGAACTCAATGTTGTTGTCCTCCATGTTACTTTACTGTTTTCTACAATACTTTTAATTTTAAGTAAAAACAAAATATGTAGACAATGATTTTTTTACAATTAATTATTGTAAGAGTACTATTTTAATTGGTCCATGTTTCGTTTGCTGTAATGACTTGCAAATTAGTAGATTGATTGCCAAAGGATCTTGACATTCAAATATTTTTCTATTTAATTTAAATGATTACGCAACTCTTGATTAATTATTATAAATAATGAAGGCAAATAAAAATAAATATTTAAAGTATTTTCGGCTACAATGACTTCGCAAAATTTGTTTTGTTCATTTCATTACCGTCATAAAAACGAATGTTTAGTATATTATTATTTACACATTAAGTATACAGTGTGTCCATAAATAAGAGATACTAAAAATTTTATTGCATTTATAGTAGTTGCAGGGTAAAGCTCTAGACAGATTCATAACACGTGGATGTTGACATCAACATAAAAATTAAACACAATTTGACATTGACATTACGTCATAATCTTAAGTGGATTTATTACAGTTTGACATTGACATTCGTCGGATATACTGGTAGTTACAATTTGGTTCCCCTTGCAAGTGCAGTCGAATTAATAGACAATTTTTTATACGTGTGACCTTAGATTAAATTTTATCTAAGTATGTTATACATTTTTAGTAAGTTAAAGAATGTACTTAGATTAAATTGGTTAATTAATGTTTGAAAATGTTTATTATAACCTACATAACATCCTATTTATTAATTTGTTAATAATTTTACAAGTATTCTAAGATTTTATTTTCATTTGGGCAGTACGATTTGTTTTGACAGTAAAGTCATAGTCGGTAGCTTAACACAAAAGATTGATAAAAATTGCTCCCAGCCAATTTTGATATTTTTTGGAATATTTTAATAAAAGTCACAAGAAGCTACATGTGCAAGTTTAAATTAGTTTCCATGTCTAGTTTCGAAGATATAAATTTTTGAAAATCATATAATTGGCTATTTTTCCCAAACATGGTAAGGTTCTCTGTACAACTAGAGGGAGTGTGAAACGAGTTTGTAGGTGAATGTTATGTTCGCAACATCTGTAGAGGAAGTGAGGAAGCAGGCACAAGGGGGTAGGTAAATTCCCCTCTTGTTTAGTGGCGTATCATTTCTCTGTAAAAATACACATTGTCCAAAAATTTTTAATTGTAAAAAAACTAAAAAATTCGCTAATTTTGCTATTTTTAAAA